CTTGATTTTTTAAAAATTTATTTCAATCTCTGTTAAATTTCTCTGATAGGCTTTCTGAATTCCTTCTCTGCATTGTCTTGAAGTTCATCGAGCTTCTTCAGGATAGCTATTTTGAATTCTTTGTCTGAAGGTTCACCTACCTCCATCACTCCAGGATTGGTTGCTGGTACCTTAGTTTGTCTGGTGAGATCATGTTTTCCTGGGTGTTCTTGATACTTGTGGATGTTTGTCAATGTCTGGGCATTGAAGAGTTAGGTATTTATTTTAACCTTTGCAGTCCGGGCTTGTTTGATCCTGTCCTTCTTGAGAAGGCTTTCCAGATACTCAAAGGGAATTTAGTGCTGTGATCTAAGTCTTTGGTCCCTGCAGCCATATTAGCACTGGGGTGACTCTTGCAGACTCTTGGTGGTACCACCTTGGTGGACTTGGATAAGATACAGGAGAATTCCCTGGATTACCAGGTGGAGTCTCTCACTCTCTTCCCTCACTCTCTGTACTGGGCTCTCAGAGTTGGGGGAGGAGTGACATGGGCACTCCTTCGTGGCCACCAGCATCAGGGCACCCCTGAAGCCAGCCCAGTCTCGCCCGAAGTCCGTGGTGTGCATGTGTACTTTGTGTGCAAGCCGCTGGAGTTTAGGGTTGTTTGTCACCACAGCAAGACTAAGCTGACCTGACTGGTTCAAGGTTTTTCAAAGAAACTCTTAACAAGAAACTAGAGGCCAATCCAAGCGCATGGAAGCATGAAGTGGTCAGAGCGAATGTTTCTTGCTCAAGGCAAACAGAGGAGGCCGCAGATGAGGCTGACCACCCACTTTCGGGGCATCCCCTGTCTCCTTCCCTTGCCTCATCTCTGTGTGGGGAACCCCAACAAAAGGTCCAGCTCCAGCCTGGGCCTTTCCCTTGCCCACTTCCTCCTCAGGCCACCCTCCACTGCAGCTACTACAGCCACAGTGGCTAAAGTCCCAAGCACTGCGGGCACACTGACTCCTCCCAGGGCCCACGAGGAGGGCACCATCCTTATCCCCGTCTTACAGGCAAGGAAACTGGGGCCTGGAGAGGTAGAGCAACTTGCTCAAGGTCACACAGGCAGGAAAGGCAAAGCTGGGATCAAACACAGGCTGCGTGGCTTCCGCGGTCTGTGCTCCACCACTACTCTAAGGAGGATGGTACCCAATGAAGAGAGAGCAAAGAGGGAAGAGCAGTGACTCAACATGGCAAAGAAACAGATTTCCTGCAGCTGTCTCGTTGTTGCCTCGGTTCGCCCTGGTGGTGGACGTCAGAGGAATGAGATCAGGGAGCAGTGGAGTATTGTAAGGAAAGAGCAAAATAAAACACATACCAGACTAATAGACACCATCTGTGTATTTAAGATGAATGCTCAATGATTGGAGGAGTCTGCAATTGTTTTTTTTTAGAGACAAGGTCATTCTCTGTCACCCAGGCTGAAGTGCAGTGGCACAATCATAGCCCACTGCAGCCTCGAACTCCTGGGCTCAAGTGATCCTCTCACCTTAGGCTCCTGAGTAGCTGGGACTACAGGGGTGCACCACCACACCCAGCTATTTTTAAAAAAATTTTTAAGGGGCAAGGTCTCACTATGTTGCCCAGGCTGGTCTCGAATTCCTGGGCTCAAGTGATCCTCTCACCTTAGGCTCCTGAGTAGCTGGGACTACAGGGGTACACCACCACACCCAGCTATTTTTAAAAAAATTTTTATAGAGACAAGGTCTCACTATGTTGCCCAGGCTGGTCTCGAACTCCTGGCCTCAAGTGATCCTCCTGCCTTGGCATCCCAAAGTGCTGGGATTATAGGTGTGAGCCACCATGCCTGACTGAGCATCGAATTTTTAAAAGTTTAAAAATGGAAATTGAGACGAGAATCCAAGGAAGTAAGCTGTCTCTGTCCTTGAGTGCCCTGGTTTGTCCCTTGGGCTGGACAAAAATTCTTTGCTGGACCAAACTTCTGTCAGGCTCCTGAACCTATTCCCAGGCCCATCTGTGCATTTCCTTGTAAAATCCAGTTTTAGCAAAAGAACCTTGTTCTGCCAGAACCCCCATCTCAGTATCTGCTTGGGCTCCTCATCCTTCCCCATCCCCGGCTGGTTTCTGCTCACCCGGGCCCGTCTGCAGAAAGAATCCTGTTAGGTTAGTGTAGCCGGGATCCCCCGACCCCTGATGTTTCCTCTTAGTAATCTTCCATCCACCGACCCCCACTTGCTCCTGGGCTATAAACTGCCACTCACCCGTGTTATGTTCATAACTGAGCCCAGTTCCACTCAGAGGGCTTTTCCCTAACGCAGTAGTTCTGAGTAAAACCTGGTTATACGGCTTTAACTACTGTCCGGCTCTGGCTTTTCTTTGACAGGCTCCTAGTGGGAAAATGGACATGAAACCAGACACGATGTCCTGGTTCCCGGGGGAAGTAATTGGGTTGAAGAGACCAGGAAGTGACCTGAAGGCGGGGGCAGGGAGGTGGGAAAGGAGCAGGAACAGAGGAGAGAAGCAGAACTTCCAGACAGTCTGTGCTCCAGCGGATGCCCCTTTCTTCCACGAAGCCGTTCCGATCGCCCTGCCCTTGAACAACACCCCCAGCTCGGGCCCCCAGAGCACGAGCTGGCATGGAACACACTCAGCACACCATGACTCCCCACTTTCGGCTACTTTCCCAACGTCGGTGCTGTCATTCAAGAAGCACAGTTGGCTTGTGGAGTTCTAAAGGATTGTAGGTAACTACTGGCTGGCAGCTGAGTCCCCAAAGCCTGGCCACTCTCAGGAAGAGGCAGGCCTACACCATGCTGCCCCCTCCAGTCCATAAGTCGATGGGCGGATGGTCATTCTCTCTTAGGAGGCCACAAGCACACCCAGGGTCTGTGCGGCCCCAGAAACACCTGCGGAGAATGCCTTGCCCTGGCGGATGAGAAAGAACCCAGGTTCCTGGAGAGCAGTACATGCCCCAAACAACCCCACTCCCTCTGCAGCCATCAGAGGGTGCTGGATGCTTGGTCCAGGAAAACCATAGTCCTCTCCTCCCTCTTTGAAAACCCCATACTTTCTTCCCCACTGGGCTCCACAGGGTGGAGGGGTCGTTCAAATTTGCTTTATAAATGAACAACCTTCTCCCCAACCCCACACTCCCCAGACCCCCAACCCGGTGATCAGACTGCTAGCAGTTCACCAAAACCCAGGCCCTCTGCTCCTTTCTGGGCACATTGCTGGACTACATTTCCCAGTTTCCCTTGCAGTTAGGCGTGATCACATGACCGAGTAATAGCCAATGGGATGTGGGCACAGGTGACACACCTACTTCCAGGCCCTGGGGTGAGACCCCTCCCCCCCCACCAACCATAAGACTTCTCTGTGCTCTTTCCCCCTTCCAGCCTATTGGCTTGGACTTAACCCTAGGAAACTGGAGGCTGCATGCTGAAGGTGGCAGAGCCTCCCTCAGTTGGTGTCCCTGCATGTTCCTTCCCCACTGGCCGGAATCTTGCAGAGGAGTAGGAAACCAGCTTCCTCTGGGTTCAGGCCATTCTGCTTGCTGTTGCTGTTGCAGCAGCTAATATCCCTGCTCCTGTGTTCTCCATAGCATTCCCCTCCCTCCGTCTGAAGTAAGCTCCAAGAGGCAGGGACAGTGTTTTGCTCCTGCTGTGTCCCCAGGAGCGAACAGTGCCTGGCTGGAGTGCACACTCCACAACTGTCTGCTGAATACGTGAATGAGTGAGTTGTGTTTTCATCATTCTGCACGGGTCTGGTCTCTATGGGAAGACCCCCTCGCAGCAGAAAAAAGAACCTGCTTCTGCTTTCACTTCCCAGTCCACTTCTGGGCCTAGAAAACCAACCTTTAACTCAACTCACGTTTGGGACTCAGCCTGAATGCTCCCTCCTCTTTGACACCCTCTCCGAGTCCTCCCCATGGTGACCTACATCCTCTATGCCCGCCCGTCAGAGGTCTCTTTGCAGTGACACCTGCCACACTGCACAGCAAGAGGTGTCTGTCTCTCCTGCCCCAGCATGTCGCTCACCTTCCAACCAGACTGGGGGACCCCTGAGGCCAGGAACTCTGTCAGTGCCCGACACTGGGGCACAAGTGTTTCTTGAGAAGCAAGCTCTGGGGAATAGTAAATGGGCCTTCATCTTTAAGTCTTGCCACTCTGCTGCTAACCAAGGGTAAAGAGCTTCCCACAACACCTTGGACCCATTTACAAGAGGACATAAGCCCGTGCGTGTAATAATCTATGGATTCTTCTAACAGGCCTTTTGGGTCTTCATACCTGGCATGTGCACACACGGACCCTGAGGAGGGGAAATCGGTATAGATGGCTGAGCCAGCAGTCCACCAGGGGCCCGAACCTGACGACACTGCGTATCAGCACAAACCTGCCTTCGACCGGGGCCTCAAAACGTTTTTCCGCCAAGGCTCATCTCATGCCTGCTTCTGGCAGCCCTGTGCACACACAAGATTTCCGTCTTTCAAAGCATCTTCCCATTTGGCCCTCAGAAAAGCTCTATGATACAAGCAGGACAGTGACTATTACGTCCATTTAACAGATGAGAAAACCGAGGCTCAGAGAGGTGAATTGACTTGTCCCAGACCATGGTTGGAGTGTGTGCTGAGCTGACACTAGGACCCAGGGGCCCAGGCAGTTCCTCTCCTTTTCTTTCCTTTTTCCAGCACCCTTGCTGAGCTAAGGAGGAAACTTTGGCCACGAGGAAGCAAAGCCAACAAGCCCTGACAAGGGTAAGCGGAAACTAACATTGACTTTTGAGTGATAAACTGAACTCAAAACCAGCCTGGCCAAGTAACTTCATTTAACTGAAAGTTTTTTTCCCCCTTCTAATTTTATTCTTTTTTTTTTTTTTCCTATTTTACCACGCACTTAACACTTTAGAGCTTCTAATTCTAAACACGTCTGGTGTAGCCAAGAGTCCGTGGTTCGCGGGGCAGCATTTGCCGCTGTTGCTGCTGTGTGGCTGGAGCCAGAACGGGGAAGATCGGTACTCACTCGATTTTTCCTCTTTGATGGTGTATTCTAGCACCTCCGACGAGCTCTCGTGCAGGGAAGGAAAGTGGACACACAGCGCCAGGTGCTTCAGGCTGCTGTCCCTGCGCACCAGGAACATCTGAAACACAGGAGGGGAGGGAGCTCCGTGAGTCAGAGATTGGGGTGGAGGTGAGGAGGACAACAGTGAGATGGAAGTCACTGGAAGGTTCCCGAAATGAGGAGGCAGGTGGAGCAGTGAAGCCTCCCTCGGGAGCCAAGTGTCACCTGGCCCGTGTCCAAATCAAGGCTGCTGGTGCCTCGATTTCTCATCTGCCCACTGAGTCACGGAGTGGTTCAACTAAGTCCAAGTTCTCAAAGGGTGCTGTAGACACAGAGTCCGTGGGGGAGGGGGGTTAAAACTTCCATGCCCCCCAACTGCCCCCCCCAGATGCTGGTTCTGTAGGAGGGGCCTGGATCAGCCTACTCTGATGTGGGTGGTCCAGAGTCCCACCCAGAAAAGCTCTGATGTGCCGGAGTGGGGCTGAGTTTCAACTCACACCCCAGCATGTTCGCTCCAGGGGAGGGCGTTGGAAATAATCACAGATATAAGTCAATTCACACTTTTTTCCCCCATGAAAATAGAAATAGCTAATACTTAACGTAGAGCTCTCTCTGTGACGGGAACTGTTATGATACTTCACATATATAACTTGCTTCATCCTCACAATCACCCCATGACATGCGGCTTGTTATTATGCCCATTTTACGGATGAAGAAACTGAGGCACTGTCTGATCAAAACAGGACACCCCCTCCTCGAGCTGGTGTGATGACTGAGTTAATACCTGCAGGGGCTTGGCCCACAGGACATACTCCGGAAGTGGGGGCCTGGCCAAAGCTCACAGCTGGAAGGGGCAGAACTGGAGTCAGCCCCCAGATGCTGGTGTCGACACTTGGGACCTCCATGACCTCCATGCCACCGGGCCTCTCCGTGCAGACCCCAAGTCCCACCCAGTACGACCTGCTTCTCCTGTGGGTGTGCCCTATTCTGACAAAACCTGCCGCTGGGCTCCCAGGACGGATCTGTGCTCTAGTGCCAACAGTGGCCCACGTCTAAGCCAGAGCCGGCCTAGTCACAGACACTCACTCCTACTTCTCCCGCTCGGGGCGCTGGTTCTGCTCCAGTGAGGGTCCTAGGGCAGTGCCCTCCCCAGGGCAATCACAGGGAGGGGGCTCTGCTGCCTTTCACAAGCTCTGTTGTTTTAGGATGTCCCTGTTAGTCTTGGTTGGCCCTGAGCAAGCTCATTCTTCCTTACCAAGTGATGCCTTCTGGAATGTCCCCAGCCTGGGGGCACAGTCTCCCCACCCCCTCCACCCTTGTCCCCACCCTTGCAGTCTAAGCCTCGCCCACTGGGCCCCACGCCCCTGGGCTACAGCGTGGAAGGCCAGGAGGCTGCCAAAGCTGCCGTGGGAAGGCTGGGGGGTGGGGGCGGGGGAGCGCCCCAAAGACAGGAGGCTTTCAGGGAGCACTTCCCCTCCCGCCAAAGCATACTCTGCCCTGCCACCCCTTTGGCGATGCTCCAAATTCTGCGGCCACTGTTACGGATCACTAATATTTGTAAAGGAGAATAAAAATCTCAGGACTACCCCCCCAACTCCTGATGCAAAAGGGAAGGAGGCAGCGTCAGGCAACACCTGCTTCGGAATGAAGGGCAGTTACTGACATTAGGATCTCCAGGGAGAGGTAAAAGCCCCCAGGCATCTACTAGGATTGTCCCCACAGGTCATTCCTAAGGAGATTCCTTGCCGCTTCCTACGAACAAGGACATGCACACTGTAACTCTGGGTCTACAGGCTAAGTCTAGCGCCTAAAATTAAAGTCTGTTCCATCCCACACTAATAATGAATTACAAGTTTATCTTCCCAGGTGCGGAACAGAGACAAGATCAAACACTCTTCCACCTACCCAGGGACATCTACACAACTGATGCTTCCTTCACTCCCTTTTTCTCTTCTAACATTCGCCTTATCTTATGTAACATGTGGATTTTCTGGGCCTGGCAAGAATGTAACCATTTTGCCTCACTGCCCGCCCCCCCGCTTTGTTTTCCTTTCTGTATGCCCTGTCCCCCTGAGATACTGCAGCTCCCAAATCCCCCTTTGGACAAACAGTCACAGAGTTGTCCGTGGTTTGTGCTTTTCCCAGGCACATCCTCAAACGTTGGTTTAATTAACCTCCATTGATTGAGATCTTTGCCTCAGTCAGTTATTTTGGGTTGTCGTATTATTACTACATTGCTATGTCATCAGAATCATTAATATAACATTATTATTCCAGTTGTTAATAAAACACTGTCATAATGATAATGCTATTAATGATTGATAGCAGCTAACACATGTTGCCCCCTAGTCTGCCGCAAGCCCAAACACCAGTGCGTTCGATTCCATGATCTCACTTTATTCTCTTACTAAACCTATGGGGGGAATGCGATTATTATCCCCACTTTATAGATGAGGAAACTGAGGCAGAGAGAGGCAAGTCATTCTCAAGATCACAGGGTAGTAAGTGCTGGGGCTGAGATTTGGTTCTAGATCCTGGGCACTCAACTTCCCCTCTGCCTGGCTTAGAGAGGGTGACCTTTCCCCTTACATCCTGGTCTCTGACGAATCCATCAGTCACTGAACCGCGGCTGGAAGTGAGTTTGCCTGCCCCTCTCCTTGACGGGGCAGAGTAGAGAGAGCAAGAGAACCAGAAGCCCACAGAGGGAGAGGGAAGGGTGCTCCTGGGGGCGGAAATGCTAAACAGGCAGGGGTGATGCCAGCCTGGAAGTGGTGCTGCCCAGAGGGCCCAGTAGGACATTTCACTTCTAGAAGTTTCTGTCAGCCCCTGCTCTCCACTCTGAGACAGCACCTCAGCTCAGCCACTGTCTTGCCCTACTTTGAGCTGCAGCTCACTGAACTTATGCATTAACCTGAACTTGAACTGACCCCAGGGCATGTCGTCTTTCAAAGGAAAGAGGTCTCTTTGCCTCTTCAGAGGTTCAAAGTCGAGCTGCTCCTAGCCCAGGCCCAAGGGAACCACAGTGTGTGGGGGTGTGTGTGTGTGTGTGTGGGGCGGTGTGTGTGTTGTATTTTTTAAAAAAAAAAAAAAAACAACATAGCTGGTCTTTGTCCCCGTTCCTGGCACAGAGCTTCAAAAACTCTTGGAATTTCCTGAGCCATAGGAGTGTCTTTTGTTATTCATAATGAAGCCCTTTGGACCTTGCCAGAGAGACCAAGCATACAATTAGCCAGTTGGAACTCAGCCCCACCCCTGACTCCCAGGGAGGAGAGAGGTACTGGAGATTGAGTTTAATCACAAGACCGATCATTAGATCGATCACATCTATGAAATCAAACCTTGATAAAACCTCTGGACTTCAGAGCTCAGTGGCGCTTCCTGGACACACTGATGTGCCAGGAGGGACGGGCTCCTGGCTTCTAGGAGAGCATGGGGGCTCTGTGCCCCACGGGCCCCAGACCATGCCCTGCGTGCCTCTTCCATCTGGGGGTTCCTCAGTTGTATGTATGAGTGTGGGTGAGTGTGTGAGCGTGGGTGAGTGTGGGGATCAGGGTGGTGTGCGTGTATGTGAGTGCGTGTGGGTGAATGTGGGTGTATGTGCGTGAGTGTGTGTGAGTCAGTGGGGTGAGGGTGGCGTGTGTGGAACGAGCGCTCTCTGGGGCTCCCCCAGGGCCTCTCTGCTGAGCAACAGCCAGTGGTGCCCCTGGGAAGGCTGACAAAGCAAACTTTGACCCTTGACCCCTAAATAGGGCAGGATGTGGGGCTGGAGCCCTCCTGACCTGAAGCTGAATCCAGGTTTTCTTCAAAGGGAAAGTGCTCCCTTTGCATGTGTGGTGCCCATGTGAGAGGACGCATGCCCAGGTCAGGGGTTAGAAGCACACGCACACAGCAGAGCTGCCCACGCCCCTCCTCCCGCGTCAGGGATGGCACAGGAAGGAAGGAAGGGCAGCGTTCTTCAAACTGCAGGTCACGTCCCTTTGGTGAGAACGCCACCAACAATTTCTTTTTCCAGAATAAAACAGAAGAGAATAAATAGAAACCCTTGCCTGTAATAAGGGTAGGCTTTTTGTTAGTGGTGGGGTCTGCACGGGCCAGGGTCACAATACAACATACTCATGGTTACTTCCCCTCACTATTCTGACACCCCGCCCCCACTGATCTCTCCAGGGTGACAGATCACCATTGCCAGCCTCAACTGGGACCTCCCTCGATGCCACTCTTCAACCTAACCGGCTCTTTCACACCCAGCACGTAACTGTTTATAGGTGTTTTCACTTTGCTCAGACATGGACCCTGTTCTCCACCCTTACGTTCCAAGAGAGAAAGAAAGAAGACAGGAGCCCCCCATGACGGGAGCTCCTCCAGCTGAGGGCAGGGTCCAATCTGTGCTTCTTCCTGGGTTCCCAGAGGGCCCTCAGCAGCCAGTTACCAGCTTTGTGACCCGGGGTAATTATGTGGCTTCCCTGAGCCTCAGTGCTCTGATCTGTAAATGGGAGAAGTAACACCTACCACCACCCAGCTGTAACAAATAACGAAACTTTACTAGTATATGGAGAATTAAAAAAAAAAAAAATTGGAAAAAAAAAATGAACCCAAAGTTCTACCCCTCAGTGTTGAAAGAGGTAATGGAGATATTGCATAGGAAAGCACCCAACAGGGTACTCACCAAGGACCAATCAAAAGGTGGAGTCCACTTTCACCTGTTGGTGGAAACAGGGCGGCCTTGGGACTGGCATTGATCAAAAGAACATAGCAGAAGAGACTCTGTGTAGTCCCGAGCCTAGGCCTCAAGAGGCATGTCAGCCTCCACACTCACCCTTTTGGACTGTTGTTGTCATGTGAAGAAGCCTGAGCCAGCCTGCTGGAGTTGTGTAGCTCGGCCAACAGCTAGCACCTACCACAAGTCACACAGTGAGGCCATCTTAGACCATCCAGCCCAGTTAAGCTGCCAGGTGATCCCAGTTGCATAATCAAACCCAGAAGAGACCAGCAGAAGAATCACTCTGCTGAGCCCAGCCCAAATCGCTGACCCACAGAATTGTGAGCAAAGATGGTGACTGTTCATCGTAGTTAGGGGTG